TCTACAATGACAAACCATGGCTGGTGGGGATTCCTCCTCCCCTGTATGTTGCTGTAAAATATCCTTCTAAAATGAGAATAAATATTGTTGCCAGTTTAAATGCAGCTTCATAGACATAGCATCTGATCTTGCACTCTTGGTGTCGCTATCACTTGGTGTTCGCTCGCTCTGTGGTAGAGTATCACTTCCTGTTCCTGCTCAAACACAGTGGTGTTTCTGAGTAGCTTATCTGCGTAGCAATTTAATTTAATTAAAAACTTTAAAATACATTCTATTTTCATAGTATAATCTTCTCGTGCTTCATCCGAAGCACACTTTCTGTGTACTCACTACCTAATTTATAACCAAAGTATTCACTCAATGTCTCTGTACTGTTTCGCTAGCTTAGCTTAGCTCATAGCCGACTCGTTAGCACCATGGCTACTTCACCTGTCCCTCCTGCACTTTCTTGCTCATTGTGTCAGATGTTTAGTTACTCCTCGGCCTCCTTTAGCAGTAATGATATCTGTAACAAATGTAGCATATTTACAGCGCTGGAGGCCAGGATTACTGAATTGGAGACTCGGCTTCGCACCCTTCATTCACCCATAGCTAGCCAGGCCCCTGTAGCTGGTGCAGCCGAAAATAGCGTAGGCCCCGCTAGCTGTTACCCGGCAGACCCCAAGCAGCTGGGGAAAGAGGGTGGCTGGGTGACGGTGAGGAGGAAGCATAGTCCTAAACAGAAGCCCCAGGTACACCACCAACCCGTTCATGTGTCTAACCGTTTTTCCCCACTGGGCGACACACCCGCTGGGGGTCAAACTCTGGTAATTGGTGATTGTGTTCTCAGACATGTGAAGCTAGAGACACCGGCAACCATAGTCAATTGTCTTCCAGAGGCCAGAGCAGGCGACATTGAAGGAAATTTAAAACTGCTGGCTAAGGGCAAACGTAAATTCAGTAAAATCATAATTCACGTCGGCAGTAATGACACCCGGTTACGCCAATCGGAGGTCACTAAAATCAATATTGAATCGGTGTGCAACTTTGCCAAAACAATGTGGGACTCTGTAGTTTTCTCTGGTCCCCTCCCCAATCAGACCAGGAGTGACATGTTTAGCCGCATGTTCTCCTTAAATTGCTGGCTGTCTGAGTGGTGTCCCAGAAACGATGTGGGCTTCATAGATAATTGGCAAACCTTCTGGAGGAAACCTGGTCTTGTTAGGAGAGACGGCATCCATCCCACTTTCGATGGAGCAGCTCTCATTTCTAGAAATATGGACAAATTTATTAAACCCCCCAAAGTATGACTATCCAGAGTTGGGACCAGGAAGCAGAGTTGCAGTCTTACACACCTCTCTGCAGCTTCTCTCCTCCTGCTACCCCCCCAAAAACCCATCTCCATAGAGACTGTGTCAGCTCCCAAACAGACAAAAAACAAACTAAAAACCAGCAACAAACAACTTAAACATAAACAATTACAAAGAAAGACCAATGCAGTATCCACATCTGAACCAAAGAGTAAAACAGCGAAATGTGGATTATTAAATATTAGGTCTCTCTCCTCCAAGTCTCTGTTAGACTTAATAATTGATCAACAAATTGATTTACTCTGCCTTACAGAAACCTGGTTGCAGCAGGATGATTATGTTATCTTAAATGAATCAACACCCCCGAGTCATTCTAACTACCAGAAATCTTGAAGCACAGGCCGAGGGGGCGGTGTGGCAGCAATTTTTCACACCAGCCTATTAATCAAACAAAGACCCAGACAGACTTTTAATTCATTTGAAAGCCTGGTGCTTAACATTGTCCACCCCAGCTGTGAAACTCAGAAACCAGTCTTACTTGTTATCATCTATCGTCCACCTGGGCCTTACACAGAGTTTCTGTCTGATTTCTCAGACTTTTTATCTGATTTAGTTCTGAGCTCAGATAAAATAATTATTGTGGGTGATTTTAACATCCATGTAGATGCTAAAAATGACAGCCTCAACATGGCATTTAATCTGTTATCTGTTATCTGTCTTTATAAGAAAGCCCTCCGCAAAGCCAGAACATCTTACTATTCATCACTGATTGAAGAAAAGAAGAACAACCCCAGGTTTCTCTTCAGCACTGTAGCCAGGCTGACAAACAGTCAGAGCTCTTTTGAGCCAACAATCCCTTTAACGTTAACTAGTAATGACTTCATGAACTTCTTCACAAATAAAATTTTTATCATTAGAGAAAAAATTACCAATAATCATCCCACAGATGTAATATTATCTACAGCTACTCTTAGTACCATTAATGTTAAGTTAGACTCTTTTTCTCCAATTGATCTTTCTGAGTTAACTTCAATAATTACTTCCTCCAAGCCATCAACGTGTCTTTTAGACCCCATTCCTACAAAACTGCTCAAAGAAGTCCTGCCATTAATTAATTCTTCGATCTTAAATATGATCAACCTATCTCTAATAATGGGCTATGTACCACAGGCCTTCAAGCTAGCTGTAGTTAAACCTTTACTCAAAAAGCATCTCTAGACCCAGCAGTCTTAGCTAATTATAGGCCAATCTCCAACCTTCCTTTATATCAAACATCCTTGAAAGAGTAGTTGTCAAACAGCTAACAGATCATCTGCAGAGGAATGGCTTATTTGAAGAGTTTCAGTCAGGTTTCAGAGCTCATCACAGCACAGAAACAGCTTTAGTGAAGGTTACAAATGATCTTCTTATGGCCTCTGACAGTGGACTCATCTCTGTGCTTGTCCTGCTAGACCTCAGTGCAGCATTCGATACTGTCGACCATAATATCCTATTAGAGCGATTAGAACATGCTGTAGGTATTACAGGTACTGCACTGCAGTGGTTTGTATCATATCTATCTAATAGACTCCAGTTTGTGCATGTAAATGGAGAGTCCTCTTCACACACTGAGGTTAATTATGGAGTTCCACAGGGTTCAGTGCTAGGACCAATTCTGTTTACATTATACATGCTTCCCTTAGGCAGCATCATTAGAAGACATAGCATACATTTACACTGCTATGCAGATGACACCCAGCTCTATCTGTCCATGAAGCCAGATAACACACACCAATGAGTTAAACTGCAGGAATGTCTTAAAGACATAAAGAGCTGGATGGCCGCTAACTTTCTGCTTCTTAATTCAGATCAAACTGAGGTTATTGTACTCGGCCCTGAAAATCTTAGAAATATGGTATCTAAGCAGATTCTTACTCTGGATGGCATTACCTCGGCCTCCAGTAACGCTGTGAGGAACCTTGGAGTCATTTTTGACCAGGATATGTCCTTCAATGCACATATTAAACAAATATGTAAGACTGCTTTCTTCCATTTGTGCAACATCTCTAAATTTAGAAATATCCTGTCTCAGAGTGATGCTGAAAAACTAGTTCATGCATTTATTACTTCCAGGCTGGACGACTGTAATTCATTATTATCAGGAAGTCCTAAAAACTCACTGAAAAGCCTTCAGCTGATCCAAAATGCTGCAGCAAGAGTCCTGACAGGGACTAGAAAGAGAGAGCATATTTCTCCTGTTTTGGCTTCCTGTTAAATCCAGAATTCAAAATCCTGCTCCTCACATACAAGGTCTTAAATAATCAGGCCCCATCTTATCTTAATGACCTTGTAGTACCATATCACCCTATTAGAGCACTTCGCTCTCGCTCTGCAGGCCTACTTGTTGTTCCTAGAGTACCGTATTTCCCGGACTACAAAGCGCACCTGAATATTAGCCGCACAAGCTAAAATCAGGGGAAAATCCTGTTTTGTACATACATTAGCCGCACCTGACTAAAAGCCGTAGGTGTTTCAATGTTGACTTATCATATGTAAGAGAATATGCACAAAGGGAATTGTCAGGAAAGAGATGGCTGTTTGGAGACACACCCCTTTTATTAATATTTTTGAAAAACCACCAAAGTCCTCTTCTCCAGTGTCGGAACGAACAGGCTCAGGATGGCTTCGTCATCCACTCTCAGCTTCTCTCCTTCGTTGTCACTTTCAAAACCAAAGAAATCCTCGTTGTCAGTGTCAGAGTCGAACACCCTAAGAAGGGCCGTGGCAGTGTCCTCTCCATCATGCAGCAGTCCAGCCCTTCAAAATCCGTTGGTGATCGTGGATGTTTTCACACTTTTCCACGCTGTCAGAATCCACCGGTGGAGTTGGGCATAACTTGCTTTTTGCAAGTTTATCGCCGCTCATCATCCACGACTCCCGCTGAACGCGTAGTGCTACTTTGAAGTTTGTTTTTCGCGCTACTTCGTACGGCACTACGTTGCCTGGCGGACGGACATGTGACTAACATACCACTCTTGAACCCCGATCCTTCCGCCAGGCAACGTTGTGCCGTACAACAGCGGAACAAACAAAACAAATCGTCTTACGATATGACAAAAATCATGGACAATCCATAGAAAAGCCGCACCTGACTAAAAGCCGCAGGGTTCAAAGCTTGTGCAAAAAGTAGCGGCTTATAGCCCGACAATTACGGTATTTAAAAGTAGAATGGGAGGCAGAGCCTTCAGTTTTCAGGCCCCTCTTCTGTGGAACCAGCTTCCAGTTTGGATTCAGGAGACAGACACTATCTCTACTTTCAAGATTAGGCTTCAAACTTTCCTTTTTGCTAAAGCATATAGTTAGGGCTGGACCAGGTGACCCTGAATCCTCCCTTAGTTATGCTGCTATAGAGGTAGGCTGCCGGGGATACCCATGATGCATTGAGTTTTTCCTTTCCAGTCACCTTTCTCACTCACTATGTGTTAACAGACCTCTCTGCATTGAATCATATCTGTTATTAACCTCTGTCTCTCTTCCACAGCATGTCTTTATCCTGTCTTCCTTCTCTCACCCCAACCAATCACAGCAGATGGCCCCGCCCCTCCCTGAGTCTGGTTCTGCCGGAGGTTTCTTCCTGTTAAAAAGGAGTTTTGCCTTGAGGCGAATTTTGTTGTGATTTGGCGCTATATAAATAAAATTGAATTGAATTGAATTCATTTATTGACAGAAGGCTCAGTGACTCTTGGATTTTTCTGAAATTGTACATTTTAAAGTCACAGAGGTTTCTCTAAAATGTGTTCTGTGTTAATTTGTGCATTACCTTAACAGTATCATAAAATCAGTTTTACTTTTTTTTATAGCAGTGCATGAAATAGCAGATATTAAAAAAAAACCTCACGACCTTCATTTACAGATAGCTGTGGAAAAACAATAGAAACAAAGGATTTTATTTCAACACAGATTATATCGACACTTAAGGTTTTATTAAGTCTGAAAAAAGGCATGCATGCTTTAACATATCACTATGACATGAAAATAAAGGAATTCTTTAAATGAGGGTCTTTGCTTTTAAGTCAACATGTACACAGTGTAGGTGTGTCCCTGTGAAGTCACATGTACATCCATCAGACGTCTAAGCCGTGGCATTGAATGTCCCGTGGAAGCCATAGGGGATGTTGACAGGTACCACCGCCCTGCCCAGCTCCTCGAATGTCTTGGCATCTAACACCAGAAGGAATGTACTCTTGTCCTGGAGAGAACAGAGACATGGGTAAAGAAATACTTGGTGTACAAGACAGTGTAGAAAACACAACGGCACGATGTCCAAGCTCGTGCTCAGCCATGTTTTACATTTGTATGAGGAAACTGTATCTATAAAGAGTACCCTGTCCAAAATGGCTGAGCCTGACTAACCTCGTCTGGAGTGATGACCACAGACATGATGACACCATCATCCTCCTCTGTAGCATTAGGAGAGGGAACAAAGACCGGCTCAGATGGATACTGACCAGGATGTTCCCACACCTGTGAGGGAACATTTACACACAATATCACATTCATGATGATAAAAGAAAAATCACAATAACAATGCTATCTCAATACCTGTGGGACAGTCCTCTCTAACTTTGTTTACTGTTTGTTAACTCCATATTACCCACAATTTTTATGGATTGTCTTCAGTCTTATACTAGTTATATACCAGGGGTCCCCTGAGGCCTGGTATATAACTAAGGCCTGTTGTTTTTCAATACAACATTATATAATTTCACAATGACACAAAGTTACTACATATACATACAGTAATATACTACACTAGATTTCTATATTACCAAGGCTGACATCAGCATAAAACACTTTAATATAACCCTTTCCCCTTTGGGGTGAGTTGCGCTCTCTGTGAATGAACTAAAATAGAACCAGATATAATTGGTTCTATCTGGAAACTGTTGATTTCAGTTGTGGGGGTTAATTTGTTCCACAGATTGGAAATGCGAGCTCTCTTTTCTTTGCTCCAATAAAACAACGTACCTTCATGCGTTTTCCATGGAGATCCATCTTAATCAGCGTGTCCCCTACAAGGTGTCTAAAGCCACAGCCATAGAAGTAGCGGTAGGGATGGGTGTTGAATTTGTGATAGTTGATCTGAGGAAACTCCAGACCTCCGTATTCATGGAGATCCTCCCCATGCAGGTCCTCATGAGTACAGAACACCTGCACAGGTTTAAAAAAACAAAAAAAGCAACACAGGTAATCACTGAGATTCAGGTAGTGAAAGTGCTATTAAAATGTCAACATGTAGCAAAGTCCAATTAAGCGTTTATATAGAAGTCAGAATGTAAATAAGTTCCAAAGAAAGAAGAAATAGGTTTGTTAAAGCATGTAAATTTTAACTACCATAAGATTGATAAAATCTTAATGTCTGTGTGAAAAAGTAAAATGAAACGGAGAAATTCAACATACCGTATTTTCACGACCATAAGGCGCACTTAAAAGTCTTAGATTTTCTTCAAAAAGTACGGCGCGCCCTATAGCGCAGTGCGCCCTGTGTGTTGTAAGGAGGACGTAGTAGAGAACACCATGAGAACGCTAAAGGGTGAAGTGTGGGCGTTGATCGTATATACCGGACAATCGCACATACCTGTCTAAAAGACCGGGTATGTGCATTATGTGGAACATCGTTGTTTTAACAACCCTGAAAATGGCAAAGAGACACGCTTATGAAGCACAGTTTAAACTGAAGGCCATCAGCTATGCGGAGGAACATGGAAATCGAGCAGCGGCGAGAGAATTTAAGATTAACGAATCGATGGTTCGCAAATGGAGGAAGCTAGAAAACAAGCTCCGGCAGGTCAAGAAAACGCAGCTGAGTTTCCGCGGACATAAGGCGAGGTGGCCCGAGTTGGAGGAAAGACTCGAGTGGTGGATCATCGAGCAAAGAACGAGCGGGAGAAGCGTTTCGACGGTCACCATTCGGCTAAAAGCAGTTTCACTAGCTGAAGAGATGAACATTGAACATTTCCAAGGAGGTCCGTCTTGGTGCTTTCGTTTTGTGAAACGGTGCCATTTTTCCATCCGGACCAGGACTACGGTAGCGCAGCAACTTCCAGCGGATTATAAGGAAAAGCTGGCCATCTTCCGCTCCTACTGCAGCAAACACATCGGCGACAAAAACATCCACCCCAGCCACATCACTAACATGGACGAGGTCCCGCTCACTTTTGACATCCCGGTGAGTCACACTGTGGAGAAGAAGGGGACCAGCATGGTAGCGATACGCACAACGGGGTATGAAAAGTCGTCTTTTACTGTTGTGCTTGGCTGCCATGCTAATGGACAGAAACTGCCGCCTATGGTGATTTTTAAGCGAAAGACTTTGCCTAAAGAGAAGTTTCCAGCAGAAATCATCATTAAGGCAAATGAAAAGGGCTGGATGGATGAGGAAATGATGAAAGAGTGGCTGAGGGAGGTGTATGTAAGGAGACCAGGTGGTTTTTTCCACGCATCACCATCGCTGTTGATCTGTGACTCTATGCGTGTCCATCTCACAGCCGATGTGAAAAAACTAGTGAAACAAATGAACTGTGAGCTTGCTGTCATTCAGGAGGCCTGACAAAGGAACTCCAACCGCTGGACATCGGTGTGAACCGCCCGTTCAAAGTAAGGCTGCGAGCGGCCTGGGAGCGATGGATGACCGATGGAGACCAGTTTCACCAAGAGTGGAAGGCAGCGCCGGGCGAGTTACGCCACAATTTGCCAATGGATTGTAGATGCTTGGGCTAACATGTCTGCTGGCACTGTTGTTCGAGCTTTCGCAAAAGCCGGCATCATTTCCGAGGAGCCGCATGGCACGGAAAGTGACTCTGACAGTGAAGAAAGTGAACTTGGCATGTTTGATGGAGATTTAGCGCAGCTGTTCAATTCAGACACAGAGGATGAGGACTTCGATGGGTTTGATTGATGATAAAAATGTGAGTACCAAACTTTGTTTTGCTCCTGCTTTATTTTTAAATACGCACACTTGTATGCTTGTGTGTTGTTGATGATGACGATTACCGGTAATAGAAATGTGAGTAAGGTACCGAACTCAGGTTTGCTCCCGCTTTATTTTTAAATACGCATACGGTACTTGTATGCGCCCTATAATCCAGTGCGCCTTATGTGTGTGTTAAATACAGTAATGGCACACATAACTGAGACTGCGCCTTTTAGTACAGTGCGTCTTATGGTCGTGAAAATACGGTATGCATTCTGTAAAGTGCTGATGGCTGTACATTAATACCTTGTTCTTGGCAATTCTTACAGAAGTAGCTATGCTGTTTGGCCGGGTAATCAAGTTCTGGTTGTAGGGTGTGTCGCGGTCAACATTGAGAGGCAGCACAAATCGCCGGGGGAAGGCTCTACTCAAGGTGTTGTACACCTGACGAGGAAGATCTTGTTAACTTCAACAAACCATCTTTTCTTCAGATAAACCAAAAGCAGCCGAAGGATTTTCCATAAACTGCACAGGAAAGTCAGTAATGAGCTTTACTTAACTGACTTACCTCATCAAGAGCTTCTCCAGACTTGCGCATGTTCTGGATGTTGTAGTTTGTGATTGCCTGGCCATCATCTGATGCACACAAATCTATGATCAAGAATCCATCCTCCTCAAATGCATTGATCTGATGGAAGGTTGATAGTGGCTTTGCAAGATACTTGATGGAGCTTACCTGAAACACAAAAACAACAATGGAAATGCACTGTGGCACTAGTTCAGTTCTGCGTTCTAGCTCAAGTCAAATAATTGTACTTAATATTTTATTAATGTGACTTAAATATTATTTCACATTTCTGCAAATGCAAATGCAAAAAAAAAAATTATTAACTAAACTGAACATTTATTTGTTTCTTCTGAAATCTTTGTAACATAAATCATCACTCTACCTATTGATACAGAGCATCAGGTGTCAGACGGAAACTTGCTTTTAGCCCCTTCCTCTTTATTTTTCAGTTATGCTAACATAATCCGTATTCAGATTACTATTATTTGTCATGATTATTTGCTGATTTGACAAAAATGTTTTTATTGCACTTTTATTGTTGCTTTTATCTTGCATTTGCAACAAAACACTGCTTTCATATCTTCACATTTGTACCCTAACCCTATCTTTGCATTCAAATATTCACCTAAATTCAGTATCTCTCTTAGAAGAAAAATAAAATGCATTCATTAAAAATAGATGACCAAAACTTAACTCAAAATTCAATCAAGTCACAGGAACAATACTTATGAGACTTGGAAGAATACTTTTTATTGTGAATTAAGTTTACCTTACTTAATCACTTAGTTCATTTTTGCATGTTAGAGTCCTACCTTCCCAGAGTGTTTGTGGATCAGATGGAAGATTATGTTGAGTTTGGGGTCCCAGAATATGCTATCACTGATACTTTTTCCTCTTAGCTTGCCTGTCACAATCTTCAGCAGGTCCAGCTTGATGGGCTGTTCAATGAACACCACGTAGTTCTCAGACATTGCTATAACGAAATGAGAAGAAGTTTCTATTTATGATTCTTTGCAGCGGGACTCAGCTCCAGTAAGACTATAGGACTATAAGAAAACCAATGATTTAAATCATTTTCATTCCATGCATCAACTCAGAGTACCACTCCATTGTGATACCTGTGCTTTTTTATTCCCAAATTCAAGATGTGCATGCTTTACTGCATGAGACTTTTTGCTCACCAAAGCTGTGATAGTATGAAGGTTTGGTCTTGTCCACTGAAGGAATCGAGCACAGCACTGTGGCTCCCTCCAGGGTTTCATCTTCTGTTTTCTTGGTTGGTGGCACTTGGATAATGTTGTAGTATGATCCTGTCATGCCAGATACTGTTAGATCTTTGATCCGTAACCTGTAGTGTGGAAATGGATCTGATGTTTCTTAAATACCTTTCGAGGTGTAGGAATTTCCCATGTTGTATGTCGTACCATCAGGCTCAGTATGAGGGTGTGCTGTGGCTCCATTCACAGCAATGAATTTGCTCCAGTCCACCTAATAGAAACAAATGCAATGGCACAAAAGGTTTGCAATTTTTATTGCTTCTATACCTACTTTTACAGTTTGATACATGTGCCACTAAAACTTAAGCTGCACGTATATCATTACACTCATGGTACCTTTTCAGTCTCCAGTGTGTCAGGGTCCACCTTGTGCATGATGTTGGTTTCTGTACTGACATAATAGTCACCTTTGTAGGTCACAAAACTCACATTGGCATTGTCTGTGGGCTCTAGAGGGAAAGAAAGCTTTGAATTACTTATTCTATAGCAAGTGCATCAACAGGCTGCTTTGTCTTCAAGATACTCACTGTGTGATTCAAATCTTGACAGGAAGCGCTGGAAGACATTTTTACAGGGGTCCGGCATGGTTACAGTCCCAAACTCAGATATAGCAATGCGATTGTGCTCCTTGTTGGTCTGGTAGCTGTCGCTGGATAGGAAGCGGCTTTTGTAAGTCACTTGCCCATTTGATATTTTGAACTGGTGCATGAGAGCCATGCCATCAAACCAGTGGTTAAATCTGGAGAGAAATAGATGCAATGCAGAGGGGAGTGAGCTTCATGATGTCTGAAGCGAATGGATAAACACACAAAGACGCAGCACTCACTTGTGGTTTCCGATCTCAAACTTTCCGGGCCCATTTCTCAGGAAGTTTCCTTTGATCCATTCTGGGATTGTACCAACGATCTGGGTGCTGATGGGCCTGGGGGTGTCCTCCACTGAGCTCACAATCTTCTCGATAGAAGGCAGACCGCGTACATTTGTGTAATGATTGATGTTCTTCACAGACTTAGATTTTTTGAGTGCTGTTGGAAAAAAACATAATCAGAAAGGACATTGTTATAATTTAAGTAAAATAATGTTAGTGTGTGCAGCTAGTAGCATTTAATGTTTACCTGAAGTATTGTTTTTCTGATGTTTGACAGTATCCATGGCTGTGGTTAAGCCTTCTGTAGCTTAGTCTCTCTTCTGAGATGCTGCTGGTTCGTACGCTGACTCCTGATTTTATACTGTCCTTCTGACACGTACCATAGAAACAGCAAAAAAGGATGCAGTCAGACATTTCATGCTTGTTTAACTCTGTGCAAAACAGAAGCAAATGGCAATCAAAAATGTAAGCAGTAACAGATGATCACTTTATCTGACTGGAAAAAACAGCAAATAACCGTGTCCAGTCTTTCAAATCATTCCTTTGACTCTTTTAGTTAAGCTTAATATGCATGGTTATATATAGCATGGTGAAACCAGATGAACTTGGCTTAGAGGGATGATTTTCTTTTGTTTTTGTATTTTTGCAGATGTACAGCAATCTTTTAAAGAAATATTTCAAATGGGAATATTCTATTTCTGAAATAATTAAAGCATTATAAAATGTTTTCTTGCTCTTTTACATTTGAGTTATCTGAATTAAAAAATAAAATGAGTTCCTGTTGTGTACTTGTCACATATCATATTTCACCAATATGCTCAAAAGAATGACCCATGAACAGGATGACTCTGCATTTTCTGGTGTCAGTAAGGACACTGTGAGTGCCACTGATGGAAGTTCATTTGGGTCCTCACAAAGCTAGCATCTCAAATTAAATTGAAAAAGAAAATCTCTTGTTTCTCTTAACCTTACATTTGTTTAAATTAGCTTTAGGTATGAAATTTGAAAGTTATGAATTAAAGATATTGCATATCATTTTTAATAAGATACATTTCTTGTATCTTGTGATTTCATGTGACTTTCTCAACATCATTTTCTCTTCATCATATACATTCATTTTCTTTAAGAAGTACAACATTGTACATCCAGGCTTTATCCTTTTTAGGTGGGCCACAGAAGTAAGCCCACCGGGGGAGTGTTTTGTGACTTATCTTGGGTGCAGGTGGTACAGGCTTTCACATATTCTCGGGCATTCTGGGCTAAAGACGGCCACCAGAAAGAGCTTTCCAGAAAGGAGACAGTGCGTTGGATTCCAGGGTGACATGAAAATCTTGCTGTGTCTTGTTGTTGGAGCACCTGGGCTCGTACCGACGAATGGACGTAGAGCCGCCCTGGGGGGTCCTGTCCCCGGATCAGGTTCGGTACGCTGGGCCTGCCGCACCATCGACTCAATCTCCCAAGGGAGGCCTCCTATGACACAGCCAGGAGGCAAGATCGACGCCTCCTCCCGATCCCCCTCAGAGGATGGAAACTGACGTGATAAAGCATCTGCTTTGACATTTCGGGACCCGGGCCTGTAAGTAATGGAGAATTTGAAACGGGTGAAGAAAAGCACCCACCTGGCCTGACATGCGTTGAGGTGTTTTGCTGCCTGAAGGTAGGCGAGGTTCTTGTGGTCGGTCCACACAATGAAAGGCTGTGCCGTCCCCTCCAGCCAGTGCCGCCACTCCTCCAGTGCCAGTTTGATGGCGAGTAGCTCCCTGTCGCCAACATCGTAGTTTCACTCTGCTGGTGAAAGACAACAAGAGAAGTAAGCACATGGATGGAGTTTACCTTCAGTCTTCTGAGAGAGGACGGATCCCACGCCTGTATCTGAGGCATCCACCTCCATGATGAAGGGTTGGTTGATATCCAGCAGGGAGAGGATGGGGGCGGAGGCAAAACGTTGTTTCAGATGATCGAATGCCTCAGTGGCTACCTGCCCCCACTGGAACAGAACCTTAGGGGAAGTGAGGTAAGTAAGAGTTGAGACAATTTTGCTGAAGTCACAAATGAAGCGACGATAGAAATTTGCAAACCCCAAAAAACATTGAAGCTGCTTGTGGTTTGGGGGTGTAGTCCACTCCAAATCCGCTTTGACCTTTCCAGGAACCGGTCTCAAGTTCCCCTGCTCCGTTATGAAACCAAGGAAGGAAACGGTGTTTACATGAAACTCACACTTCTCTGCTTTGACAAAAAGGCGGTTTTCCAACAATCTTTGTAATACCAGTTTGACATGTCTTTTATGTTCTGCCACTGACCTGGAGAAGATGAGTATATTGTCTAGGTAGACGAAAACAAAGTGGTTGATGAAGTCTCTGAGGATGTCATTCACGAGAGCTTGGAAGACTGCTGGGGCATTTGTTAATCCATAGGCATGACGAGATATTCAAAATGTCCCAGGTGGGTGTTGAATGCCGTCTTCCACTCGTCCCCCTCCCTAATGCGAACCAAATGATTAGCACTCCGGTGGTCAAGTTTACTGAATATCTTCATCCCGTGGAGTAGCTCAAACACTGAGGTCAGCAGGGGCAGCGGGTATTTATTCTTGACAGTGATTGCATTCAAGCCCTGATAGTCAATGCATGGCCAGAGGGACTTATCTTGTCAATAAAGAAAAATCCTGCTGCCAAGGGAGTAGATGGCCGAATGATTCCCACAGCCAGTGAGTCGGTAATGTACTCCTCCATGGCTTCTCTTTCTGGCTGCGATAGGCTATAGAGTTGGCTGGTAGGCAGTGGGGCTCCTGGTAACAAATCAATGGCACAATCATAAGGCCGGTGTGGGGGAAGAGAACGAGTGCGATTCTTACTAAACACCTCCGCTAGTTCATGGTACACTGAAGGAACTGCTGTTAGATCCGGAGGAATCTGTGGGGGTGACGCAGGGGAGCCGACGGATGGAATGGCGGATTTTAAGCACGTCATGTGGCATCCTTCCCCCCATCTAGACACACAGCCAGCCTGCCAATCAATTAGTGGATTATGTTGCAACAGCCAAGGATAGCCAAGAACTATAGACAAGATAAGCGGCGTCAGCGGGGCTTTGAAAACAAACAAACTGATTAATTCAGAGTGATTTCCAGACAAACACAGAGTGACAGGTTCAGTAACGTGGGTGACATCAGGCAAACGCTGTCCATTCAGAGATGAGGCTCGAAGAGCATGAGGCAGAGGTTCAATAGTTAAGCCCAGTTTTTTTAGCAAGTGATGCATCAATAAAACTCTGTTCTGCACCTGAGTCTCTCAAAGCCTTGAGTGAGTGAGTGGTGGTGTGAACAGTGAGCCTAGCTTGCAACAAAAGATGAGGAGGGGAATGTGCAATGTTTATTTCGCCCACCAGTACCCCCCCCCCCCCCTTTTTTTTACTGGCGTGCATGCCCTTTTGCCTATGTGGCGCAAACGGCGATGAAATGTCCGTGACGGCCACAGTATAAACACTCACCGGCCATGAAATGGCACTGCCTCTCCGCTGGCGTAAGCCGGGCGTGTCCGATTTGCATCGGCTCCGCCTCGCTGGGACTCACATCCATCGAGGCCGGCTGTTGTGGTGAAGCAGCACTTCCAGCAACAATCCCAACACTGAGCGGAGCATGCTGGGAAACTGAGTGTCACGTCCCGCGGTGCACTCGCAGACGCTCGTCAACGTGAATGCACAGGGTCATTATTTCAATCTGGCTTTCGTAAAGTTCATTCCACTGAAACAGCCCTTCTTAGAGTTTCTAATGACATTTTGTTACAAAGCGATGCAGGTAAATATTCTGTTCTCTTAATGTTGGATCTTACGTCGGCCTTTGATACTGTTGACCATTATATTTTACTTAACAGGCTGAAACACTGGGTCGGTGTCTCTGGGACTGCATTGAAATGGTTCTCCTCGTATCTCTCTGAACGATATTCTTCTGTGGCAGTTTCTAAGTATAGATCATCTTCTGCGTCCCTGTCTTTTGGTGTGCCACAAGGCTCTGTGCTAGGGCCATTACTGTTTTTAGTTTATTTACTCCCTCTTCAGCACATTTTGAGCCCGTTTGAGGATATTTGTTACCATTGTTATGCAGACGATATCCAACTCTATATATCTTTTAAACCGGAAGAGGCTTCTAAGCTGCGGCTTTTAAATGTGTGCTTGGAAACCATTAAAGGCTGGATGGCTGAAAACTTCCTCCAACTAAATGAAAGTAAAACCGAAGTCCTCTTATGTGCCCCAGATAGACATATACCCAGTATAATAAATGCTCTTGGTCCTCTTTCAACGTTTGTAAAACCATCTGTCAGGAACTTAGGGATTATCCTTGATCCTGCTCTTACGTTAGATAGTCATGTTAAATCTCTTGTTCGGTCTTGCTTTTATCATTTAAGAAATATTTCTAAATTGAGCTCTATTATATCCTATACCGAACTGGAGATTGTTATTCATGCTTTTATCTCTTCACGACTGGACTATTGCAATTCCCTGTTTACTTGTTTAAATAAAGGTTCTTTGGAGCATCTGCAGATCGTTCAGAATGCTGCAGCAAGACTTTTGACGAAAGCTTCTAAATTTTCACATATAACACCGTTGCTTATGCAGTTACATTGGCTTCCTGTTGAATTTAGAGTCCAGTTTAAGATTTTGGTTTTAACTTTTAAGGCTCTTCAACAACAAGCACCACCATATATTATTGAACTTTTACAGCCCTATGCCCCTAGTAGGTCTCTGAGGTCGAGTAGTCAGGGCCTACTTGTCATTCAGCATACGAGACTGAAAACTAGGGGTGATAGAGCTTTTGCTACTGTGGCCGCCAGACTGTGGAATTCCCTTCCTCAGGACTTACGATCCGCTGATTCATTGATTACTTTTAAAAAACAGCTAAAAACACATCTTTTTAAAACTGCCTTTTGCTAACTTTGTTTGTATTTTGTCTTTTTAATCTGTTATATCTTGTAAAGCACTTTGTGATCTCTATCTAGAAATGTGCTATATAAATAAAATTTTACTTACTTACTTACTTACTTAAAAAGCTGAGAGATGATGGCAGTTCTCTCGTTATGAGCTCATCCTTCAAATCCTCCTAAATATTGTTGAGCAGAACCTTCTTTACTGCCTCTTCACTCCACCCGGTCTCTACAGCGAGAATGCGGAAGTCAATTGAGAAGTCAGCTATAGTGCGTTTACCTTGTTTTAGATTTAGTAGACGCTGTGCAGCAGCAGAGGGCCCGCCGTCCTTTTCAAACATGCCTTTGAATTCAGACAGGAACTCGGGATAGCAGATATTCGGCTGAGTTTTCAATAATTCCTGAGCCCACTGAAGCAC